TGGGAAAGGGAAAATTAACATCCTCGCTTATTTGGGGCTAATTTTGTCTTTGGACTGAATATGGGATTCTCATGGATCACATAATTGTTAGGTCATCCGATCGTTGGAACTACGCGAGATATGGAGTATGTGTGGGGTGGGCCAAGGGAGCTAAAACGCTTACACAATTTGTTTTTTTTTTCGGGGGGAGGCACACAGAGGGGAGTTGTGCAGACAAATCTCTATCTCTTCCGCTGTGGAAAGCATATATCATAGATAGTCGACCATGAACCCGATACAGGGGACGGAATATCTCGGTCGCATTCAAAATGTGATTTGTTTCAACTAGGTGTGAAGCCACACTACACTAGTAAGTAAACTAAATACAGGAACGATACGGTCACTCAATACTGCAGTATGGCTTCACACCTAGTTGAAACAAATCACACTTTGAATGTAACCGAGACATTCCGCTCCCTCTATCAGGTGATGTATTGGTATGACTATGAATAACTGAAAACGAGCTTGTTCGACACTTTGTTCTATTTGAAATGCGCCCTTTGGTGCTGCTTAGGCAATAAATGAATTAGAATACTAATAATCACGGCCTCGTTCGAAAAAACGCCTGACCGTGAGGCCTATGTAAGTTGTTCCACGGTAACATGTAAATGAGTACACACAAAATGAGAGGGTAAAATCGGGCGCTTTGTTCTTTAGTCGTAAACACGCGATTGGTTGGAACGTGAACGAAACATTGAGCTTTGTTGTCTTTCTAACAGCATTCGATAGTCTTCTTTGTATTACTTCTGCTGATGTATCCCTCTTGAACTGCAATGCAGTGTACACCGACTTCTTTCTAACCTCGGCCTTGCTCACTGAATCATATTGCTAATCAGTCCTTTCGGATAGCCTGTGTGTGAACAAAGTACATAAGAACCGGAGCTCTTCTTCTAATGCGTCCTCACTATAAATCCTCTCTCTCTACCTGCTCGGCAGCGCACCCAATTCCTCTTCAGTTCGAGCGGTACAAAGCTGCGAAAATGGATGTATTGGCCCTTCCGAGTAGCCTCCCTATGTACTAATTGTTGCACCGAGCCATCCAATCTACGACAGACGTCTACAAATGCCGGTTTGTTATTGTTTTCCATTTATAAAGTGAATCTTATGTTCTGGTGAGCAGCATCAAAATTGCTCAATAGCTCGTTTGTTCCTGATGTCGTGTTGATCACGAGGAGAATATCATCTATGGGGTTACCGTCAGGACCGTTGTTTGCCGATGTGTTCATTGCGAATCTCGAAAATAACCAACTCAAATCTTTCATTCAAGAATAAATTTTGAATACCACAGTGGATTTTTATGATGATTATCATGGAGTTCTAGGGAAGGAACAGGAAGAAATTGGTATTCCATTCAAGGGAGAACGAAAATAGGGGGGAAAAAATAGGGACTTG